TCTGGGGAGTGAACAGCAAGCACTTTTACCTACTGAGCCATCCCTGGCCCCCTCCGATCCTCTATTTTATTTTTATTTTACTTTATTTTATATGTATATGAGTGCAGGTGCCCAAGGAAGCCAGAGGTGTCAGATCCCTTCAAACTGGACTCACAGGCAATTGTGAGCTGCCTGTTGGGGGTACTGTGAACCCAACTTGGGTCTTAGATCCTAAGTAAGAGCAGTGAGCCTTCTTAGCCACTCTGGGCCACCTCTTCAGTCTGCTATGCCTCTTCCTTCTAAAAAATCAAATCAAAACAAAACAAAAAGAAGAAGAAGAAGAAAAGAATAGGAAACAGAATATTGGACCTGCCTTTCATGACTTCCTGTGGCTCCGCTGCCCACCTCATCTCTGGCAGCTATCTCAGGCTGTGCAAATGAAAAGGGCCGCTTTGACTTCTCCGGTCTGGATTGAATGGGCATGAGCAGTCCCTGATCTTGGAACAGTCTCTGGGCACACGGAGGTCCAATGTGATGCTTCATCATCAGTCTGTTGACAACAGACACCAAAGGAAAATGTCCACAGAACGTGTAAGAACAGAGATCCCACAGCAGCCCTCTGGCTTTGTCATTCAGGTTGCCCAGGCAGGAGCAGCCTCAGTTTTACATCTCTGAAATGGGTATAAGACTAGCACCCACCCTAGAGTGGCTACTATTATGCCTGTAGGTATTGCCTGGGTGCCTAACCCAGTAAGCGACAGTTCTCGATATGAAGGTTTTAAACAGCTTTGGGAAACATAGGCACAAGGGAGGAAATGACGTCATCCATAACCCCACCTTCTCACACTCAGCATCCTAAACATTTTGATAGAAACATATGATGACAGCCGTGTGCGTACCAACACGTCCTTCATTCCCTTGCAGCTGATCAGCTTCCAATGCTTGTAAATGGCTTCTATAGCATTATTGGCCTTATATAACATGTTGAATTTCATGAACATGTCATTTATTTAGTCTCTTATTTTTTTTTTTTTTTGCCCGATCATTTCCATCTCTCTTTTTTTCCTGTCATAAATCTATTTATGAACAATTTCATATGTCCACACATCTCCTGGGTTGTTTTCTTGGAATAAATTCCTAGAATGGAGAAACTGCTGAGTCAAAACATGTTGGCAGCTCGTGCTGTGCATTCATTGCCTGGGTCCCTGGAGAAAGCGGTCCTTACGTTTCTCCCCTGGGCAGGGCAAGGAATCCCTGGAGGACCAGGCATCCTTGCCTGCTGGCTGACGTCTCCAGTGATGCCCTGTGGGTTATCCACAGAGGCAACAGTTTCTCTTGCTATCTCTATTCTTTTTGTTTTTCTTTCTTTCCCCTTTGTTTCCCTTCTTGGTTTTCTGCCAAACAGCCCCTTGTGAAAGGACCGCCTAATTAACCCCGTGCTAATTAACAATTTAAAATTACACAGTGTGACTGTTCATGTTTAATTCTCTGGGAGCTAGAGCATCAGTGGGAGCCCCCTCCCCTTCCTCAGAACTACACACCCCTACCCAGCCTACCAGAGAGGCTGCATTTTTATCCAGCATCCCCCCAACCCCCAGTCTTTATTGAATAAGATGGAACTCTCACACCCTTTTAGTTTATAGAAGGAGAGAGTTGCCAAGATGAGTGTTGCAAACCTGGTAACATTTTATCCTTCTAAAGCAGTCTTTTAAAGAGGTTGGTATTTCCAAAACTGCAGTGGGCTTTAATACAGGGGACGGGGACGGGTGACCCCCTTTATTGTTTGGGGGGTTCTTAAGGTGTTGGAGCTCTTCTGCTCAGATTCCTTCTCAATTGGCAGATTTAAAGGCTAAGCAGAGTGAGGGGGTGAGCAACAGTGTGTGTGTGCGCGTGTGTGCGCATGCTTGCTGGGTCACTCCCGTGTCACCCCTCGAATTCTGTCATTGGAAACACGTGCTTTCTAAAATCTTCCCGAATTCTTAAATAAATATCGTTGAGTGCGATACTTCGGTCATTTAAAGGAAACCTGGGGGAGTGGCCAGGGGAAGAAGAATTGGCCTGCAGGAAGGGTTGAGAGTTCCGGGTGAGCCAGTCTGGAGCGCCTGTGGGATGGGATCAGGGCCTGAGGGGCGGGCCAGGGGCCTGAGGAGAGGTTCGAGAACGCTGACTGGCAGGGCTTCCCGTGAAAGTGTGGGGACCCACTTGGTTCCTGGGCCGCCCTCTGTAACTGAAGAGCATTGATTTTACGGGAAACCATGTTTACAGACAGAGTGCTGATCGACCTGTCGAGTTGACTTCTGCCTCCTTAAGTAAGAACTACCTTTTTCTTATTGACTGACGGATAAACAGAGCAAGCACGCTGGGTGGGAGAGTAGCGGATGCCCCGAGGCCCATGAGCTGCCAGACTGGGCAGGGTGAACATCGCTTCACGTCAGCCCCCCCTCCCTTTGCCTGTCCATTCCTCATTCCTGTATATGCTGGGGACTGAGGCCTAGGGCGAATGTGTCCATCCTGTGCCCTCCCCCCCTTACCTGGCAATATGGGGACCAAAGCACAGATAAGCAAACAGTGCCTCAAGCTTTAATTCAAGTTTCCAGGGATGATGGGAACATGCTGATTCTGTTCTGGGTGGGTTGTGAACCAGGAGCCTGCATTTCTCAGGACAGTGAGACTAGCCCAGGAATCACACAAGGCTGTCGAAAGTTCCGCTTGTGGTCAGCGTGTATGGAGGAGAAGCTCCAAAGAAGTCGGCCTGGGTCTGGAAAGCAGGTTCTCTTTCCCACCTGTATCTTTATGTCCTGTGGATGAATCCCCTGACCCAGTGTCACCAGCTGGCTGCCTTTCCGGGGTAGTCACCTGCTTGGGAGTAGAAAACAAGTTAGGGGATATTTTGTTTTGCTTTTGTTTTATTTTGCTTTTAAAGTCCCGGCCCCTTAGCTGGCCAGTTCATGGAGGAGGAGGAAGAAGAAGAGAGCTAGCTGGACAAGCAAAGCCCACCAATTAATTGGTAAACGGTAGCAGGTTTCTCTGGCCCGACCCAGGCTGGAGAGGAGATTGGCTTTGCTGTCGATAAACAACTCCCCGGTGCCGCATCAAAGCCGTTCTCCTTTATCAATCGTGGCCTCCCCTCTCCCGCATGTTCCTGTAACTTACCAAGCATTTATGACATTGATTTTACAATCGGGCTGTTAACCCTCCCGCCCCTTCAGACCTGCCAACCTTTTGGGCTTGAACTGTCAATCAGGTGTCATCCAGCCAATCAGGAACACCCTTAGAAGAGCCTCCCCCACATTCTCACCTACATCCCAACTAAGCCTTATGGGAAGCCCTGCTTCATTTGCCATTGGGGTTGGCTTGGCGTGGGAATGGTGGTCTGCTTCAAAGGAACACGTCTTTTCTAAGGCACACAGAACTTTACCATCACAGAGGCTGAGCCTGTCATTGGGCAGCTGTGTGAATGCATCTTCAACCAATCCTGGCACCTTCTTTAAAAAAGTGATTTCTTCTGAGGCTTGTGTAAGCCTGCCTTCTCCATCTTTTCCCGAGGGGGAGCTGTTGGCTCACTATGCAGTCAGGCCTGGAGAAATACAGAAAGAGTAAGACAGGGTTGGCAGGAGATGGAGGGAGATGAAAGCTGGCCAGCAGCCTTGCTTGCTGCTCATGAATTGAGCTGGACGGTGAAGAGCAGGGGACAGGTGGCCTGGGGTCTGCGGGTGAAGGACTCCGAGAGGTGCTGAGCCACCTGTAGGAGAACCGCAAGCAAGGCGATAACCACCCCTGCCATGACGCTGCAGGAACCACGGCAGCCTGCGATCTACCTTCCCCAGGGACGTGAGCCCTCGGAGGGCAAGTTCGGCTCAGTAGTGCTCGGAAACGGAAAAGCCTCAGGGCTGAAGGACAGCTGCTGGGGTAGCAACCGAGAGCTAAGAGGCAGGTGTGGAAGTGGGGCTGGTTAAGCCCAGCTGCCGCCTCTGCCTTCACTAAGACCCTGGCTAGGGAGAAGCCACCACGTGCATGGCACCTGGCTCACGGGGTCCCCGCAGATGGGATGGGACAAGGTATTGCTCCCTGAGGGGATATCGTCATATTGAAAGTCTGGCCAGTTTTTATCCATGGTACCTTCATGTTTTCATTTTAAAGTCCACCGAGTTCCAGACAAGGACGGACACTTTGCTGGTTTGGGTGGAGCAGATGGGAATTTGGGACACTTGTCTTCTTTTCAGTTCCATGGTCTCTGTCTAGATTTACCCTGTAAGGTTTACAATAAACCTGTAAGGTTTACTGCCTAGGAAATGGGACTTCCGATGTTTCTGAGACCTGAAGGGGAGGGGTGTGGCCACTGGCCCCCTTGGGCCCTTTTCTGGATATTCCTAAGCCTTCACCTTTGCCCTCTGAACCTTGTAGACCTTTGAACTTACCAAACTTGACACATGTGCCTTGAAAAGCACCTCTGCTTCCTGTACATCACTGGACATGTCTCCGCCTACCAGCCTCTTTCTGAAGGTGGTCACAGCCTCCTCCCCTCTTCCTCCCTGGTGCCTCCCCACACCCATTGCAATCATCTGGGGATGACTTTATATAAGCTACCTGCATGCAGGAAGGCTCCTTCTGTGACCTCACTGGATACTGGAAAGCGAACAGGCCTCTTCTGCTCTGGCTCCCTGCGCAGCCTGACTCTCGGTCCTGATGGCACAGAGTGAAAATTCCAGTGGGTCCATCTCTAGGGCTAGAGTGACAGTGTGAAAACTCAGCGGTGTGTTTCTGGCGGCTTCCCCCACTTCCCGTTCACTTGCATGGACCCGGCCTTGTCATCCATGGCGCTGTTCACCCTCTCCAAACTGCACTGTGCAGGGCCCTGTCTCCCAGGCTGCCCTCTGCCCTGCCAGCTTTGTGTTGTGGGTGTGGACAGAAGCTTCTTAGAGCACCACGAGCGGAACCTTGGCCTTGGCCCTCCTAACCTCTTTCCTTTCTCTCTCTCTTTCCCCTCTCTCCCTCCTCCCCCCCTCGCCTCCGCCCTTCAGGTCCGATCCGTACTGGGTGCAATGAAAGCTCCACGCAGGCCTTACCATGGAAGGCTGTGACTCGCCCGTCGTCTCGGGGAAGGACAATGGGTGCGGGATCCCTCAGCACCGGCAATGGACTGAACTCAACAGCACCCACCTCCCTGACAAACCCAGTAGCATGGAGCAGCCCGCAGGCGAGAGCCACGGGCCCCTGGACAGCCTGAGGGCCCCCTTCAATGAGCGCCTGGCGGACAGCAGCGCCTCGGCGGGGCCGCCAGCCGAGCCAGCCAGCAAGGAGGTGAGCTGCAACGAGTGCTCGGCCTCCTTCGCCAGCCTCCAGACCTACATGGAGCACCACTGCCCTGGCACGCGCCCCCCGCCCCCCCTGCGAGAGGAGAGCGCCAGCGACACCAGCGAGGAGGGCGAGGAGGAGAGTGACGTGGAGAACCTGGCTGGGGAGATCGTCTACCAGCCAGACGGCTCCGCGTACATTGTCGAGAGCCTGAGCCAGTTGGCCCAGAGTGGGGCCGCGTGTGGCAGCAGCAGTGGCAGTGGGCCTGTCCCCTCGCTCTTCCTGAACTCTCTCCCTGGGGCGGGGGGCAAACAAGGGGACCCTTCTTGTGCTGCGCCCGTGTACCCGCAGATCATCAACACTTTCCACATAGCCTCATCCTTCGGGAAGTGGTTTGAGGGCTCAGACCAGGCCTTCCCGAATACCTCAGCCCTGGCGGGGCTCAGCCCCGTCCTGCACAGCTTCCGCGTTTTTGACGTGCGACACAAAAGCAACAAGGATTACCTGAACAGCGACGGTTCTGCCAAAAGCTCCTGCGTATCCAAAGATGTTCCCAACAATGTGGACCTGTCCAAGTTCGATGGCTTTGTGCTCTACGGCAAGAGGAAACCCATTCTGATGTGCTTCTTGTGCAAACTCTCCTTTGGGTATGTCCGCTCATTTGTGACCCACGCGGTGCACGACCATCGAATGACCCTGAGTGAGGAGGAGCGGAAAATTCTTAGCAATAAGAACATCTCCGCTATCATCCAAGGGATTGGCAAAGACAAGGAACCCCTTGTAAGTTTCCTGGAACCAAAAAACAAAAACTTTCAACACCCTTTAGTTTCTACAGCTAACCTCATAGGCCCCGGACACAGTTTTTACGGTAAATTTAGTGGCATTCGCATGGAAGGGGAGGAGGCCCTTCCAGCCGTCGCTGCTGCTGGCCCTGAGCAGCCCCAGGCTGGCCTCTTGACCCCCAGCACCCTCTTGAACCTTGGCGGGCTCACCAGCTCGGTCCTGAAGACCCCCATTACCTCAGTCCCCCTGGGGCCTCTGGCTTCTAGTCCTACCAAATCCTCAGAGGGCAAGGACCCTGGGGCAGCTGAAGGAGATAAGCAAGAAGTGGGGGATCAGGACTGCTTCTCCGAGAAGGCAGAGCCAGCCGAGGAGGAGGAGGCAGAAGAGGAGGAAGAGGAGGAGGAAGAGGCGGAGGAGGAGGAGGAAGAGGAGGAGGAAGAGGAGGAAGAGGAAGAGGAGGGCTGCAAAGGACTCTTTCCAAGTGAGTTGGAGGAGGAACTGGAAGACAGGCCCCCCGAGGAGTCTGGGGCCACAGCAGGTGGTAGCAGCAAAAAGGACCTAGCTCTCTCAAACCAAAGCATTTCTAACTCCCCCTTAATGCCTAATGTGCTCCAGACCCTGTCCCGGGGCACAGCTTCTACTACTTCTAATTCTGCTTCTTCCTTTGTTGTCTTCGATGGTGCGAACAGGAGGAATCGTTTAAGCTTTAACAGTGAGGGCGTCAGGGCCAATGTGGCAGAGGGCAGGAGGCTGGACTTCGCTGACGAAAGTGCCAATAAAGACAATGCCACAGCACCAGAACCAAATGAAAGCACAGAGGGCGACGATGGGGGCTTCGTCCCCCATCACCAGCACGCTGGCTCCCTCTGCGAGCTTGGGGTCGGGGAGTGCCCCTCAGGTAGCGGCGTGGAGTGCCCCAAGTGTGACACGGTCCTGGGCTCCTCCCGCTCGCTGGGCGGGCACATGACCATGATGCATTCACGCAACTCGTGCAAGACCCTCAAGTGCCCCAAGTGCAACTGGCACTACAAGTACCAGCAGACGCTGGAGGCACACATGAAGGAGAAGCACCCGGAGCCCGGCGGCTCGTGCGTCTACTGCAAGAGCGGGCAGCCCCACCCGCGCCTGGCCCGGGGCGAGAGCTACACGTGCGGCTACAAGCCGTTCCGCTGCGAGGTGTGCAACTACTCCACGACGACCAAAGGCAACCTCAGCATCCACATGCAGTCCGACAAGCATCTCAACAACATGCAGAACCTGCAGAACGGGGGCAGCGAGCAGGTGTTCAGCCACGGCGCCGGGGCCGCCGCCGCCGCCGCTGCCGCCGCCGCCGCCGCCGCGGCCGCCAACATGGGCAGCTCCTGCGGCGCCCCCTCCCCCACCAAGCCCAAAACCAAGCCCACGTGGCGGTGCGAGGTGTGCGACTACGAGACCAACGTGGCCAGGAACCTCCGCATTCACATGACCAGCGAGAAGCACATGCACAACATGATGCTCCTGCAGCAGAACATGACCCAGATCCAGCACAACCGCCACCTCGGCCTCGGCAGCCTGCCCTCGCCCGCCGAGGCAGAGCTCTACCAGTACTACCTGGCCCAGAACATGAACCTGCCCAACCTAAAGATGGACAACGCCGCGTCCGACGCCCAGTTCATGATGAGCGGCTTCCAGCTGGATCCCACAGGGCCCATGGCCGCCATGACGCCTGCTCTAGGTGAGCTGAGCCCCCGAGGGCTGTAGGGGTTTCCTGGGGGGGGGGGGGGGGGGGGCGTGGCCCGGGGGGCCGGGGGCCAGGGGTGGGGAGCATGTGGAGTCAGTTGAGGCAGGACCACTGTGTGAACTGGTTTTGATCTTTATCTCCTTGAAATTTTTGTTTTTATTCAGTTTCCTTTTTTACTCATTTGTTTACCTAGTTTTGTAACTGGAAAAGCCTCCCGACCCGGTGTTCTCCCTCAAGGACCCCTCGTGCTCAGTGTGACCCTGCGGAAGATGTTATGCAATGGACAGAGCTCTGATTGTACTCTGGCTACCTAGGGCCAGGATTAAAGTTTAAGTGCTGCCTCTAGTATTTGGCTCGCGGCCAGCTTTCCTTTAGTCCCCTTTCTTTTTCTCTCTTCTCTTCCTCAACTCGAAAAATTGCCACATTCAATGAAAACTTTTGGGTTTCGTGAAATAGTTACTGAAATTTACGGGAAACCGTAGCTGGGGCCGTCATCTCCATGCGTCCAACAGGGGCCGTCATCCTTTCAACAGGAGCCGCTGGAATCGGGAACAAACCTTACTGAAAACCCAAAGGCTGGTTCTGTGCCGAGCTGGGAACCACGCAGGAAGTTTTCTGGCGTTCTCCCTGTCATTTTGAGGCTCTTGATGAAAGGGCCGTGTTCATCTTCTTTCTTGTTTCAGATGAGTTGTTGATTAGCGAAGTTGGGAATTAATTAGGAATTAAATGGCTCTGGGGACACTGGCGTGAGCGGTGCGGTACGCGAAGAACTGAACAAACTCCAAAACTGTCCATCTAAGAGAGCTTGAGTTTTAACAGTGGGGTCTCTGTTGCCACTCAGGGCAGCAGGGTCTTAGAGAAGCGGAGCAGGCTATATCTAGGCCCCAACAGTATTAGTCAGCTTTCTGTTACTGCGACAGATGGTTGGGGTGATCAGTATATAAGAAAAACCGTTTTGGCTCACAGTTTTGGGGGGGGTTCAGTCTGAGGCCAGTTGTCCCTGTTGCTCTGGGTCCTGTGGCAAGTTATTGTATCATGGTGGGGGCACTTGGACGAGAGAGCAAGGAACTGAAAAGGAGAGGAAGTGGTGAGGTTCCCATATGACTAGAAGGGTTTTCAACTGGGTTACCACCTTCCCATAGTGCTGCGGGCTGCCGGCCAAGTCTTTAACATACAGGCCTTGGTGAGGGACATTTTTCTCAAACCACAGTGCCAAGTCTTTCCGATGACCTGACACATCTACAATAGAACCAAGAGTATGTGGGATTTGGATGCTGAGAACTGTGGTTCATGATCAGTTTTTCGAGCAGGAAAACATACAGTTTGACTCCTTGAAGGCTAGTATGATGGCCAGATCCCCTTTGACCTTACCTGCTATTCCTCAGGACGAGCCCAACCTAACTTCTGTTCCTTGACTCTGCTGTCTGGCCCTTTTGGGACCTTTGTTAAGCAGCGTCCTATGATTGACGTGGGAATAAATAGTTTTCTTAGCAGCAAAGTGAGCACATACCCTTATTTGGATGTGGGTTAAGCCAGCACCAGGAGGCCAAATTTTACCAGTGTGCGGGTCTTTATTTTGCGTGGTGGCATTTCTAAGCGTTCATCTTGCTCATTCTGCTCTGTGCTTCACTTTGAAGTCAATGATACTCGAACCTTGTTTTCTGTTTTGAAACGTTAACCTGTTGATCTTTTTCGACCAAATGATCTGAAGATGTTTTGCCGACTGGACTGGTTAGCCACGAAGGCACAAGAATCCATTGTTTTGTGTGTCCCCAGGGTGAACTGTGCGCCCCGGGAAGGATTGGTGCTGGTTATTACCGCTCTGAAGCCCGTATCTCCCTCCCTCCCCCTCTCTTTCTCTGTCTCCCTCACGGATAGGAGTTAGTTCCCACCTTAGTAAAGTTCTGGTAGACAAGCTTCAGAATAAACTGTATAGCCCCCAACACCACAAAGACACAGAAACAGGGTGAGCTCATATTGACAAATCAAGGTCTTTTTAGTTACCCTGAAAATCGGTGTCTGCTACTTGAGTTCCTCAAATGGAGACCTATTTTGTGGGTTTCTTCTCTTCTTTCTAGAGGCTCTAATCCTAGGGCATAGCTATAGCTCTTAGTCTCACCAGTTACAAAAGAAGCAGGATAAATCCGTGTACACACACACACACACACACACACACACACACACACACACACACCAGCCACTTTCTGTCCTAGACTTGAGTGCTGTCCCTTTCAAGGATCTTGCCCAGCTCAGTCAGGAAGTGCTGTAGAGTTGGGAGCACCACATTTGGGCAAGGTGGGTTCTTGAGTGATGTCCTGTCCTCTTTCTATGGCCATGAGGTCTTTTGGGGTGAGGAGAGTCACAGCTGTTTTATGTTGAAAGGCTGACCAGATGTGGGGACAATAGGAAGTCGTGTGGTCCCCACAGGAGAAAAACAAACAAACAAAACACCAAAACATAGGCAAGTAGAAAAGTCCTAAGCTTCAGTGACACCTGCTGTGGTTAGGCCACTGGTGAGGTGGCTCTAGGGTCTTTGATACTATTGGGTTCCACAGTGAGGGAGAAAGGACTTTTATGAAATTCATTCTTGTTTACCAGGTTATCTTTAGTGTTGCCAGATACTCCGGAAATGCTTCCATTCTGGACGACATTCTGGAGGAGGGCGATATGCCCCTCTTGACCTAAGTGGTTATGCCACAGTTTGTAGACAGGATATCAAGATCACAGCCATAGACTCTCGAGTTCAGCACAGCATCACGGAGTGGCTTACTTGTGGGGCGTTTTCCTGTTTACCAAGTAGCCAGGCAGCCACAGAGCACTGGTTTGAGGTTCAGGAGCCCCCTGCTTTCTTCCTTTGCTTTTAGGGTGTGTGATTCAACCCATGCCTCTTGAGGTGCTTCAGCGTGAGGCTCATGTGCCAGGGTGTGAAGTCTAGCTAAGCTGAATCTCTGTCATGGGTTCATGGTCTTGCTCAAGGCCCATCGAGGACTCAAGAGGGATGGGTGGCTTCAGTCTTACACAGGCTTCCGGATGCCTGGGGGTCAAGTGAGGGTCATCTTAACTCACTGGGGTTGAATTAACGGTGTGGACCTGCAGGATTCTAATGTCTTGGCACTTCTCCAAGGTGAAGTCATGGCGGGAGTTCTGGCATGCCCTTTGTCATCCCAGCTCTTCTCCGCTGCTCCTCTGCAGGGCCTGTAAAATGGGGATGGGAACAGGGGCTCATTTCGCCTACTTCTTCTGAGGCCTTCTAACGTTCGAGCAGACATCCAGCAGGTGACAGTGGATTTTCTCTGTAGAGCGGTGTTATTGATGCACTGAGCTTGCGTTTGAAGACTGGGGAGGAAGATTCCACGCTTCAGGTGGTTGGCATCAGAAACAAATACGCGTTTGCTCCTTGTCTCACCCTCTGGGCAGTTTCTGCTTTGATTGAGCACCGAGTATGTTTTGCCTGCGTTTGTCCTCAGGAAGGATGGAACTCTTTTTTTTTTTTTTCCTTTTTCTCTTTTCCCTTTCTTATTTTCTCCTCCCTTTTCCTAAAAAGAATGCCATAGTTGTGACACCTCTCACTAGCGGTCATGGTAAGAGAGACCAAAGGTGGAAAGCTTCCTGAACCTTCTGGAAATGTGTGTGTGGAAGATTTCTGTGGTTTCCTACTGTCTGCAGACTTCAAATGTGGCTGGTCTTGCTTAGTGGAGTCCACACTGAACTCTTTCGTATTTGAAATGAAAACTCTCTCTCTCCTCCCTCTCCCTCTTCCTCTCCCCTTACTTGGATTCTAATCAGTTATTTTAAAAAAAAAATAAGCCCAGTCAAACCACACATAAAAGGTCAGGTTTAAATATCAGCGGGAGGGGTGAGGCCATTCCTTGTAGCCTGCCGTATGCATGTGTTCAGACGAGAAGGTGACGCTCAGTCTTCTGAGGACTGCATACATCACCTAGGTAATGGAGGGAAGCCTGCCATTTCCAAGGCTCTCTCATGATATAAATAAGCTCGTTGTGTTTATTTTCCACCTGTGAAAGATGAGCCTCCCCTTGGGTTTAAGCAGGGCAGCGATGGCCTGAAAATGGGTGGGGGTGCAGAAGGAAAGAGATGGAGGTCTTTATCAGACCTTTTTTAGGGAGTGTGAGCTCTCAGACACAGACACACACACACACACACACACACACACACACACACACACACACACGGTAGTTGCCTATCTCAATCCACCTCCTGAGCATATATCATTTGGGTGCTTTTGACCCTTGTCCGAAGCAGTAAATATTTGTGCATGTGTACTTCGGGTGGGCTGTCAATGAGAGAGTCATGCAGAACCAAGGCCGGACCCCTGCCCTAGAAGGCCCCCACCCTGGTAGGGACGAAGCTGTGACCCAGTATTTCATATGGTAGAGAGGCTTGGAAAAGAAAGATCATTCCAGGAAGGGTGAGAAGTGGGGCGAGCAGCTCTCATAGACAGGTAGGATCCTGACAAGAGGGGCATTGGGAGGGACGGAGGGCCGAAATCTGCACCGTTGCACAGCAGCTGTGACCACCGACATTAATATTCACGGCAATGAGAAATGGAGTTTCGTGCCGTGTGGACAGCCAGGCACCTCCACCCCTACCATGGCAGGAAGGCTTGCTCCTCAGTGATGCTGCGAATACTGGGTGAATTTCAGATGCTCGGTAGAGGCCTGGCTTTGTGGACTGCTCTGCTCATTTCCAATTCCGGAGGCCAGGGTGGGGGTCTGGAGTTTGAGATTCTGTTGCATTCAGAGGGCGATATGGACGCGGCACTCTTTTTACCCCCAGAGAGAGAGAAGGAGGATTGAAATCATTCGGGGGACCACACCCCGTAAATTTGTCTAGATGTTCTTTTTCAGAAGATGGAAGGCGCAGAGCCTCCCACCAGCCACAGAGTCTCCATGTCAGTGGATTGGGTTCCCCAGCCAGTGCAGCACCTCACAGTATGTGTCCCGGGTCCCGTGGCCACGAGGCTGGCTTCTGACTGTCTTTTCTCTGCCTTTCCCACAGTGGGCGGTGAGATCCCCCTAGACATGCGCCTCGGGGGCGGGCAGCTGGTGTCGGAGGAGCTGATGAACCTGGGCGAGAGCTTCATCCAGACCAACGACCCGTCGCTGAAGCTCTTCCAGTGCGCTGTCTGCAACAAGTTCACGACCGACAACCTGGACATGCTGGGGCTGCACATGAACGCGGAGCGCGGCCTCTCGGAGGACGAGTGGAAGGCCGTGACGGGGGACTCCTACCAGTGCAAGCTCTGCCGCTACAACACGCAGCTCAAGGCCAACTTCCAGCTGCACTGCAAGACGGACAAGCACGTGCAGAAGTTCCAGCTGGTGGCCCACATCAAGGAGGGCGGCAAGGCCAACGAGTGGAGGCTCAAGTGCGTGGCCATTGGCAACCCCGTGCACCTCAAGTGCAACGCCTGCGACTACTACACCAACAGCCTGGAGAAGCTGCGGCTGCACACTGTCAACTCCAGGCACGAGGCCAGCCTGAAGCTGTACAAGGTGAGGTCGGCTCCTTGAGACCCGGGGACGGGGCCCCCCGCAGAGTGGATTGGGTACTCGTGTGTGTGTGTGTGTGTGTGTGTGTGTGTGTGTGTGTGTGTGTGGTAGCTATCTGTACTATAATCCTATATTAGTTGCCACCTGACAAACCAACTGTAAAAGTGTTGCTTGGAGCTGAGAGGCGTTGATGGCGTCCTCCGGTGGCTGGAGCCTCGGGGGCGTCTCGTTTTGGGGGGGCAGGTCGCTTTTCAGCAGCCCGCTACTGTGTGGTTCCCTTCTTGCTTGCCGGTCTCTGCTGTAGGCCATTGAGTCACCGTCAGCCGCTGCGGCCCACTCTCCCTTCCTGTCCTTCCGTCCATCTTTTGTTTCTTCTCTCCTGGATGCTCCCTTAGTGCTTCATCCAGGCATCCATTCTGTTTGTCCGTCCCCACCAGCAGCCATACACTAACCACCTTCTGCACACCAGCCCTTGTTCCAGAAGTATGTCTGCATCAGTACATAAACTAGACCGACGCAAACACCACATGTACATACACACACACACACACACACACACATATACATATGTATGTGCACGTACATACAAACACATACACACACATTTATGTAGATATACACACACCTACGTGTTCACACCCGTGTCCCTGCCCTCACTGAGCTTTCATTCTTTTGGAACAAAAGGAGCTACAGACACAGTGGCTAAATGACCATTTATGGTGGGAGGTGGGTAACGCCATGGCTGGAAACAAGTGTGGGGGCTCCTTGTGGGTTCTTTCCGCAAGTTGCCGTAGTTCACGTCCTTGTTCTCTGCACCCTCTCCTGTCAGCCTCTTCCATTCGTTTCCCCTCTTCCCTTCCCTTCCCTTTTCTCCCCCACCCCTCGGTCTTCTCGCTGACCAGTGTAGACCCTCACAGAGGAGGAGGAGGGGCTGCAGATACTGTAAATAGTCCTTTGACTTGCACGGCAGGATTGCTCCAGACGTTTCTATTGATTTTCGCTGGACTTAAAGCCTCACCTTTTCCTCTAATCATCCCATAATGGCTTTAGTATGAACAATCAGGTACAAATCGCCATAAATCTCCCCAGCCTCATTCCACACACTCTCCACTCCCTCGCCTGCCTCCATCCACCTCACTCTTGTCCGCAGTCTCCTCTTTTTCCTCCCATGCTTCTGGGACAGCAAGCATTCCGTTTCCGCCAGCGCCTCCGAGCCAGTAGGGTCTCCTGTGTCCCTCTCATGATTGCCAGTGGAGACCCGACATGAGGAAGACTCAGCATCCTTTGCTCTCATTGGTCTCTGTTGTGATGGTTACGATTCGTTTTGCTGTTGCTCATTCTCGGGGAGCACTGTGGATAAGGGACAATTTCAGAGAAAGGTCATAGGGCTAGAATGTTCTAGAAAGTGCCTTATTTGACACTCGCTATGGTGGGCTAGGATTGGTTTGGATGCCAAGTTAGCCAAATCCTCTCCTCTGTGCGTACAGATTCCTCACTGGACCGGCTTTGTTTTATGCCATCCTAGAAAGAGAAGTGTTCTTTGTAGCCAGGTTTAGTCTGAGGATGGCGCTGACACGGTCCAGACAACCAGGTGGAAAAACCAGAGGAGACAAATGTTTCTGAAGGACTGACCCATCAGATCTGCACAGAGGAGTCCTCCTGGCCACGGAGGGTCATGTGCTGCTCCGACGAAGGGGCCATGTAGGCATGGAGTGAAGCTGCTGTCTTCCATCTCAAGAAATGGATTGCCCTTTAGATCATAAAACGCACACAGCAGCCACTGAGTCTGTAGGCCACATCTCCTGTGTGGTCCAGGTCCAGACTCAAGTTGAGCAGCTGAGTGAGATTCCTGTCCCTAACCCCAAGCCCCCAAGTCGCGTCTGTGGATCATGCCCTGAGTGAGGCGTTTCCTAGGGGCGGATTCGAAAGACACATTTTCTGCCCTACTTGCTCTGGTCACTTATTTGTATTATTTATGTTGTTGATTTTTGTTTGTTGGTTTATCCAAGACAGAGTGATCATGCTCTTGTTCAGAGCTTATGCCCCAAGGAGAAGAGCACTCAACCCTGAGACAGGGTAGACAGTGGCGCATAGCAGCTGCTTGGCCGGTGAATTCCTGGAGGGCCCAGCCTTGGTGTTTCAGTATAGCAGTCCCCAAGGTCAGGAGGCAAAGGTCTTTGTAGTCGGCTCTTATTAGTCCTTGGATAATGAATGCCCCTCTGCTTGCTGAGGCTCTCTTGAGGATCTGGGAGCTCTACCACCCGCCTTTGGGTGACACCGATTATGAGCCCAGAGCTCCCCCGAAGCCCCTTCGTCCCCTCCACGTGACTAAGGTAAACTTCTTGCCATGGAGGGGGCTCTTCTTCTCCCCCCCTCCAGTTTCTCGGTGCCTGGATCTGGGTGGTGTGTGGAGGTGGCCGGGCCCTGGCGTAGCCCATAGTAACGGAGATTGATTGCATGTTATTTTACCTCTTGCTAATGTAATCCATTAGCCCGGCACATGCATAATCAGTTTAGAGCACAGTTAACTGGGTGTAATCGAGTTCTTTACTGTCTGCTGGAGAAACTGCTCCCAGAAGCGGCTGACCTAGGGAGGGCACCCCGCCTGCCCTGCTCACCCCTTCCTGCCTGCCACCCCTTCTCACTCTGTCCTGCTTCCTGGCCAGTTGTTCATAACCAGCCAGGGAAAACCTGAAGGTGTTTTTTTTGTTTTGTTTTGTTTTTTAAATTCTGTATGTTTTTGGTTTTGGTGTTTGTTTGTTTTGTGTTCGTTTTTTGAGACAGGGTGTCATGTATCTCAGAACCGTCTTACCCTCACCGTGTAGTTGAGGGTGATCATAAACTTCTGATCTTCTTCTTCAACCTCCCAAGCTGCACACCTTACAGGTCTGAGTCGTCACACCCAGTTTGACAGGGCTCTGAGGACTGAACACGGGCCACACTAGGCACACATGTCACCCGCTAAGCCTCGTCCTGAGCCACTGAGGTTGGTTGTTGTCTACTGTACCCACTGACATACCTGTGACTTGGCTCCTCTGTGGAACTCCTTCTCCGAGCCAAGCCTTTTATTCTCCTCCTCTTCCCTTTACATTGGAGGAGACAGAGTCACAGTATCAGAAGCCACAGACAGGGGTTTGTCCTGTGATCTCAGACCAGCGTTGTCCCTTCCCTGGATGTCACATGGGTTGATGGAGGTGGAGTAACCCTAATCTGAAAATCCCCCATCCAAAAGTTGAGCCAAAGCATTTTGGGTACTGTAAACATGGCACCAAACTCCTGCAGGCATTGTGTCTAAGATGATGAATTTTGTGTTGTCCCAACCTGAAGATAAGGTCTCTGCAGATACCCGAGAATCAGGAAAACGAAAATCCCCACGTACAAACCATCAGGGTCTAAAGATTTCAAAGATTCCCTGTGCTTCTGCATTAGGACCGGGTTTTCTAAAATGTGTGATGATGTAGAATTCAGGCACAGAGCTTGAGCAAATCTGAGGAAACCATGTTTTTCCCTGGAGCTGTCTATTCTGCTTATTTCTTGATTATAAACTTTTCAAAACATTTGATTATTAGTGTATTGTTTGTGTGTGTATGTGTGTGTGTTGGCTCTCTCTGTGTGTGTACAGTTTGAGGGAATTCATTCTCTTTTTCCACCATTTGGATCCCAGGGATCAAATTTACATCGACAGACCTGCTGGCAAGCACCTGCACCCACGGAGTCATCCTAGCTTCCCTGATGAATTTTAAAATGCGTTTCGAATGCATGCATGGTAGGGCAGAGGATCTGGGGAGCCCAAGGTATCAGATGGAGGCTCATTTTCCCTTCCTTTAGGGTGGTAGGCTCCTGCAAAGTGTTCCTAGTGAAATCCCTGGCTTTTGTTTTAACCAGTGGCTGCCCTCTGGCCATGATTCTAACTGACTAGAACAGTGTTCTGACTGACTGGTGGGCCTCCCTGACCTCCTGGTCTCTGCCTTCTGTCCTGGGTCAGTTTCCAAAGCTGTCATGGAAGTGCGTTCTGGAACAGAACCTTCTCTCACCAGAGCTGAGTTCCGAAACCCATCCACACCTTTTCCTGCTTTCTGGTGTAAATCCATCCTTCTCATCCCTCCCACTCGCAGAGACATGGGGTGCCTTTGCTTGCACTGATGGCACCTGTGCCACACTCTGTCTTCCTGGGAGAGAGTATATTCTGAGTCCATGGGTCAACCTGAGTTCTCCTGGCCTTATCTTGACTTTGCCATCATCGGGTGTCAGTGATGAGCTCTTCTGCCAGGGGAAGAAGGAAGGTGTTTGGAGTCCAAGCATACCTGTCAACTCTTAGAGTCCACTGTGCAGTGAAAAAAATAAATAAGACCCCAGCAGAGCCCATTACTCAGACTGTTCCCAGCTGAGGTACCTTTGATTGGCCCAGGACCCCAGGTTTCATAGGAATCTTAAATTGTAGCAAGGACGGTTGCCTACCTAGCTCAGTGTCAGGGTTGAGTGTGAGGTGCTTGGGCTGGTACGGTTGAGAAGCCAGCATCTAAGCCCCCTGACCTGGGCTTGAAGTTGGAGGGAAGGAGAGGTACTGAGCGATACTCAGCCCGGTTGTGCATGTGGTGGATGGATGGTCCTCTTGCCCCTTCCGTCCTTTTGCACTGCTTAATGGCAGCACCCCATGCCCCTCTTTCTCCTTCCTTTATGAGTTAGTTGCTCCTTGGGTCTCATTTCTGGAGCAGGGTCGTAAGGCCATTGCATGGTGGATGGACCAATTAGAAGGCATAAAAACACTCAGGATCTCATGTATACAATCCGAATCCTTGGTCTCCTTAATGGCTGCGCTTTGGGCGGTGTATATGTCGTGTGTGGGCAGGCCAGGGAGGGCTCTTCAGAAGAGAGCTGCACCCTGAGTGCCCACAGGGGCTGCCTGCTGGCCTTTGCCTCGTTCTGACAGCAGGGACCACAAGTCCTCTGGGGCAGCTCCTGTCCCTCCACCCTGGCTAGCATCGGAAGCGCAGGTGCCATGT